GGAGCACCCCGCAGCGCCGCCCCGCCCCGCGTCGGAGCGACCCGCGAGGGGAAAGGCCAGAGGCCGCCGCCGCCAGCGCCGCCCGGGCCAGGCCCGGCCGGACGCCAGCAACGGCGGCAAGGAGAGAGGGGAGGGAGGGGCTCGGGGAGGAGGCGCTGGAGGCGCGACCGGTCGCCCGCGGGGGCGACGCGGCCGCGAGAGGAGGGGGGATGCTAATCTGTGAGCGAAAGATACATAAAGGTGTTATTGGGTTCTCCCTCTCTTTCTTCATTAATTATTTGTCACATTATCTATTTTGCCTAGTATACGTGATGTCATCATCTATGTTACTCTCGTTGTGGGTAGTCTGAAGGGTAGAGCAGCCACCTCCAAAGGTTGACTCGGAAATCGAGGAAACCTTTATATTAGAGACGATGAAATACATATTTTTAATTCCTCTACCCTGCCGACTGGAATGCATCCTTGAAGTGCGACTTTTAGGATGTATAGCATGACACAATTTGTCCATCTCCCATTCATGTATCAGGAATGCCATTATTATTAGAGATGTGCATATCCAAGGATTATACTGCGATCTAACGCTGGGTCATGGAGATTTAATAAAGGGACCTTAAACCAATCCATGTCGAGAAAACAACTTGGTCTGGTCTAGTCAGCAAGGCAATATACATTGATGGTGGTAGGAAGGTTCCCCTTCCCTTACCTCCCACCCAAAAAATAAAGAGCTGAAAATCTGACAACTCGATATGACCAAGCATCACTTTATTGCAGCCTATACAGTTTAGTGAAGAGTGGATAGAGTACTAACTGTATATTAGATTTAATGCATATAGCATGATAATGTTTTTTGAATTAAGAATGCAAAACTTTGTGGGCTATACAGAAGCAGCTTCAGATTTTTTCGGTAAGCTATGTTCTCTCTTATTTCTGGAAAAGAATCCACACCATGGCCATGTAATAATATGGTCTCGTTCTCGAGTGATATGATGCGCATGTTTCTCTTATATGGCATAAGAATGTCTTTAATTACACTGACAGATAATTATATATCAGAGTAATCCTACTAACCTAACTTTCCCTGCGAAAAAAGGCAACATAAAACTTAACTTTTTGTGTGCTACTTAGTACTCCCTCTGTTCCTAAATATTTGTCTTTTTAGAGATTTCAAATGGACTACCACATATGAATGTATATCGACATATTTTAGAGTGTAGATTTACTCATTTTGCTCCGTGTGTAGTCATTTATTGAAATCTTTAGAGAGGCAAATATTTAGGAACGGAGGGAGTAGTTAGTAACCTAGAGATGATACTTCTTAGTGTGCAAAGCTATATGTACCTGGTCTGCAAAGCACTGCGTACTTCCTCCATCTTGAAAACGTGCAAGTTTTTCATCTTGACCCATGCATAATATAAGGTGTCTGTACAGATTTATTAACTGCGCTCTTTGTTTGTACCCATATACATCTGTATTTCAATATTATTTAAATTTATT